GAGTTACTGTTAGAGTTTGTTCTGTATTCTGAAAGTTACAAATTACTTAGCCTTACTCCTATTTTTCGCTCTTTTTTCTTTTCTGTTCCAGTGTTGGGTTCCGCTCAAGTATCATAGCTCCAAGAATGATTTCTCTGCTCAGTATCTGCAGAGAATGATGGCAGAAGAAAGCCGCTCAATTCAGTTTACCATGAGCCCGTATGTTCTTTAGCTACTTATCACCTGTTTGGTTGTTGGCCCCTTAAGCTAAGAATTCTAAGAGAAGTTGGAAGTTTTTCTATTGAAGCATCAATAAGCTTATTATCTACTGATTTTAATAGTTTTTCATGATCTCTAGGTACGATTATGTTGACTCTTTGTGTCCTGGAGCAAGCAACAACAATAAAGCCCAAGGTCCATCTAGAAGGTATTCTACCCTTCTAGTTTCTGTTTCTAGCTTCCTAAGGTATATAAGAAAGAAAAGGAATTTGGTATGTTTTTTGCCTTTTGTTTTATATGTATGTTTACTTGTTGTTCTGTGTTTGATATGTTCATTGTTTTATTATGTGATGGAAAATGCATCATCTGCCTATTCTTTATGTTTAATAATTTAAAGACTATTGAATTTTTTTTCCAGGTTGTTGCTTTCAATTCCACTGGAAGAACGTTTGAAGAAATTACTGTCTGAGGTCTGTTCAACTAGAGAATCCGCCCTGAATTTTTTAGTGTGTGTTTGTCTGTCTGATTTGGCTGCTGCCTGATATAATAGAATATAATAAGATGCAGTTCTAACTTCTAAAAGTTCACACTGAAAACTGGACCTAACATAAACTTTTGCCATATCCATGCCCACTGAACTTAGGCTTTTGCGTACATGCATCTTTAGTGCTTTTGATTGTCCAAATATAGGATCATTATCTTATTGGTTTATAGTATTTGCTTTAAATTAAGTAAAATAATAAAATTCTGCTTTTTCCTCACCAGTATTTCTTCTTTCCATTACATTTTTAACCTTAGTTTCAAAAAAGAAACATTGAGGCTTTAACTATTAAACTTTATTGCTTGGGTTGCTAACGCCATACATTATTGTGTGTTATCCCATTTAATATTTCCAATTCCTTTTCCTCTCTCAATA